TTTGATTTCGCTTTCTAGCTTCATAATGAACGAATTTAAGTGAATATATATTTTTTGTTAATTTCATTCAATTCAAAAAACTCGATTTATTACTTTTGGTTTTAATTAAAAATTCACCTTCATCAGGCTCAAATATTACCTTACAAGTTTTATCTGAGAAATCTACCTCTTGGTTCTTGAATCGATTGATATTGATACTATAATTGCGCGGTACCTTCTGGACCCGAAGAAACACAGCTTCTTGGTCATTTCAATTTTCTATGTGACATCAGATTATTGAATTTTTTACCAATCTGTCATTTTATTACATATCTAACTCTTTAACATATAAATCCTGTGTTTTGTTGTTGATTTTTATAAACAGTTCGACGTTTACAAACCATTTGTGACATCCATGCAGCCTTGATGGCTCGACTGAGAATATAAAAGTTTTAAAAACAATAGAAAGTCCTTTTACAACCTATTTAACTACACCCCGATAATAGTTATCCACTGTGTGCGTAATTAAAAGGTAATGATTATTAGTAATATTTTATTTTTGAAAATAATGCGGAGAAGTTACCATGTATTATGGTCGCTCTATTTTTGAATGAAGATATGTATATAATTAGATAAACTTGCTGGATCATTACTCGATGACGACGATTAATGGTGGGAACAATATTAAACTGCTGGTAAATTCAGATTGATTGTACGATCGGTGAATCGAAAGAAATTTGAAGTCTGTCCAACAGATTTGATTGCTTACTGAGCTTTTTGATGGATGAAATTAACGTATTTATTACAATTTTACCAAGTTCGTGATTATATTGCATCATAATCAAGCAAAACTAAAGTTATATCGATTCCTGTCAGTTTGAAGTGAAAAATCAAGCATGAATTTCACGTTGCTAATTCCTGGCAACTTTACAACAAATTTCTTTGCTTGACACAAGTGTGCTGACGCACATAAAATATATATATACATTTAAGTATTTTCTTATAATTAAATCTCCGAGTATAATTCTTTCTGATAAGTTCCGTCAGATGAAATACTTTCTAATTTGGAGACTCCCACACAGAATTGTTGGTAATGAATAAGCCAGTTTTCAAGCGCTTCAACAATGAGTTTTCTTTCGGGATTAATATTCAATAAAAATCATTTCTAACAGGAAAGTCAGTGCTATGAATGGTTGTAAATATGGCTTTACTGCATTCACGAAGCTAAAGATAAATAAATTCTTTGATTTCCGGTATTTTTGACCCTCTGAATTTTTGTGGATGCACAAGTCATCTTATAAGGCGCGGCCTCGACGCCAAAGGCTGAGCCATCTGCTCTCAGTTGGTGCGCCATCAGTTGGTGCGCCATCAGCTGGTGCGCCATCAGCTGGTGCGCCATCAGCTGGTGCACCATCAGCTGGTGCGCCATCAGCTGGTGCGCCATCAGCTGGTGCGCCATCAGCTGGTGCGCCATCAGCTGGTGCGCCATAACGCATCAGCTAGCGCGCGTAAGCTCTTACGCAGTTAAGACTACTAAAGATAATAGGAGTGAGTGATAGTAGAAAATCAGGTATGATATTTAAGAAATGTGGCTTACGTAACGTTATACCATGCAGACAGCGGCGGTGCGTGCTGTGTTTACCTATACAAACGTTATATATGTATATAAGCACTATCTGTTCAGTAAGTTAGTCATTTGAACTGTTTTTGTTTCGTTTTGGTAACAAACAGTCTATGTTTAAAAATGTCAGAATGAAATCCCTTGTTTTGGCAAAATATTCTTTCATTTTTTTCATTGTTTGGTGGCTGGTTATGCTTCTCATTTCTTCAATTTTTGCAAGTGACAACAAAACAATCATACATAATTGTATATGTATACAAACTTTCTGTCTTAATAAGTGTAATTTTTTAACAACAAAATATGAAACAAGATTATTGACGACACGTTCTATTTGGACTTGCAAATGTCCAGCCGGAATGCCCGCAGCAGATACAAATTAAGGAATAAATTCACAGGCAGGATCGTTCAATTTTGGACTCGATTGCCTAATGGACAAGTTAAGTAATGAACAAATCTATCAACACAGTCTGCACCTATATAAATTTGAATTAAATAAGAGCCGACTTTCAGGAGTAGCGAATCAATTATATTTGTATAATTAAGTTGAAGTTAAGCAGCTTCCTCATTTATGTGAAAATGTATCAGCTGGCCTCCTGTTTTGTTTGCAATCACTGCATGTCTTAAGTATTAAAGTGTACTTATAGCATACAGTTGTAAATCTAGTAAACATTGTAGTTTCATCCCGCTTGTTTGAATCAGTTTTACGCGCGTGTTCGCTTCTTAAGAAATATTAGTTTGGTGACCATGCATGACGTCATGATGACATCACGAGAATCAGTGGCTATATACATGCATGCTTCTCATCAGTGAAAAGCAGTTCCATTTGAGTAACAGTGACTTAATCTTTTATACGTACCGTACGTTCACACTTGCTTGTGTGCAATAATAATAATATATACGTAGCATTACATGGGATTACTGCGGTTTTTTTATCGAGCTAAAATTAAATTATAGAAACATCAAAGTCTGTTAATCGGAACTTGCAGACACAACACGTCACAACATGCATGTGCAATGTGTAATTATGCATCCTAATTCAATAGTACTGAGATTTATAATTCGATGGTTACGAGTTGGTGTATTTCTCTGTAATTTCATTCGAAAAATTTTCACTTGTGGCTGCTACAAATAAAATTGAAGTGAGATGATAAAATTCGCGTGATTCATAATCCGCCGGTGCAGAAATAACTTGGGTGAAGTTGCTGTCTAAAAATCAAAAGCCATCAGATAAAAGGTAAAGTTGGCAACAAACGTATGAAATTTTAAAAATTTTTATCCACTGTTGATTATATTTCTTGTCAAGCTGTTGGATTTTGGAACGAAGCCGTGTTGAACACCGTAATGCTGAATTGAAATGTTCAAGTCCAACTGCGGTAAGAGCTGCGTAGTCGTCAACTCGGAGCTGCGTGCAATCAAGTCGATTAAGCCGCAATATTTAAAATTTCAGCTGCGTTCCACTAACGGTCTTCAGAATTACGCAAGAATCTTAGCCACAGTCTGACAAGTTCATTATCGGCAGAGCTTGCACGATAGATGTGATCGAGGCACGTGAAGCATAGCAGTCCAGGAATAGTCGACACCAAAGCCACCTACAATTTATTTAGAGGAGCAGACCTCGTAGACAGCGTGAAATCTGGCACACCAATAGAATGAGGCACTTGAGACGGCGCGATCGGGCAGACCGGGCTTCATGTGGGGCAGCGTGTGCGGCTGACGGGCGGCATCGCGGTTTACGAGGCGGTGTCCGTTGGTTTACGGCTTTGGTTCACCATTGGCCCGGGAGGCGGAGGCGGAGCTCGTACAAGGATATTTGCTGGCCGACCTGCCTTTGCCTCGTCACACGCTCGGCAAGTCTGGGCTCAGTCTTAACCTACGAGTGGCGTCGAGATCACGACGTGTGGTGGCAGAGACCACACCGTGGCATGAGCCGTGGTAATTGTGATCAAGCGTTGATAATTGAGGATCCAGCGAACAGTTTACTATTCAGTGGCTGGAATCTACTTCATTCAGTAAACAAGCTGGTACTATTCGTGTGTTTATTGTAGAGAGCAAGATATGTTGTGAAATACATGATTTATTTGGCATTGAATATTTAGGCGTGTATTCTTTATGACCATTTTGGTAACTGTGAAAACAACTATGAAAGATATATGTATATTTTTTTAATAATTAGATTAAAACCGTAGAATTACCTGTGTACTGAAATCAACCGACTCCTTGGAACATAATTGTATTATTTACTTCATAGTTAGACTTATGGCTCATTCCCGTATTCATTTTCAACGCTCAGAGATCTCTTATTTACCAGTTTCTTATTTTTTTATATGGATTAAAATCGAATCAAACTAGAATTGAACAATCTAATGCTAGTGTTTGTCCTAAATTTTATTTAGCAGACACTTAACCTAATGTTTTAGCTATATACGATCTCTCTCTCAGTAAAGCCGTTAGGATCAAGCGTACGGTTAATTATATTTTTCATGCCGGTATGGATCAGCGCCCGGTCATCTGACATTATCATTGATTAGTGATCGAGCATCTCAAGTTCGCCAATTAAAGATTAACGTTTGATTCATAATAGCTAAATTGTGATTAACAATCATTCTAGGAGGTAGCTTGTCTCATCATGCTATTTTCACTCCCATTGTCATAATAATGAGGAGAGGATATATTAGAATAAATCATGTTTTTTTCAGAATAACAAGTTCATAGCAATCAGATGTTTGGTTAAAAATAATGCCAGTTTTATTGAGGACTTCTTTTGAGTTTAATCTCTCAAGCTTTCTGATAAGAGGTACAGTAGGGTCAATATGTGTCTTAAAATTTGTCCCCATGTTTAAATAAAGGGCTCTACCCTAAATATACAAATTTCTGGAATCAGATGATAAATAAACAACCGTTAATTGGTTACGCGTAAAATGCCACCTCTGAACCGCCCATCAAGTTAACAGATTCGCGTATTTAAGAGGTGTTTGAGCCATTGAAGTTATGAATTTTCTTTTGAATTTTAATCAATGCTAATATATGTTGGAAAGTTTTCCAGATTTTCGGCACCAAATTGTATGATGGGAAATTTCAGCTCGTTCCTGTCCAAGACATTTTTTCTACCCGATGCTGAACGTTAAAAAATTAAATCCTCGCTCATAACAAAGAATAACTTGTATGATATGGTCATGACATTTAATTATGAAATTGGTTTAAATTTTCTCCAGATCTAATATTTGCTTATTTATATTATTGATAGGATAAACTTCATTTCTAGTAACGCTTTTAGAGTGTGAATCATCAGTGTTAGACATCAATTGATCCTAAACCTAACAAAGCTATTTATATTAAAGTATTTTTTTGTGTCAATGCCAGTAGTGACGGTAATAACATTGAAACTGTGACAGCAGTGAAGAGTGAAGTCAGAATAAAATTTGCCTGCAAAAATTTCTGTGTCAAAAGATGACTGTAAGCAGCCATCATACTGTAATGAACCCGAGCTACGCTCATACGCTCTACGACATGACGCATATGGGCGACATGGTGGCCACCGACTCCCCGAATATTTTCTGCACGACCATCCCGTCACATTGGAGAAGCAATAAGTCTCTGCCTAGCAACTTCAGGGTCTTCATATTCGACGAAGTCAAGGTACATAGAGATTATATATCGTTTTAATAATAAAATTGTTTAACGGTTGTACAATCTATCTTTGTATCGCAATATAATACCATTATTGAAATACTGCCATGTTTTCCCAACTATACGCGTAATAATTAAATTAAGCGGAGTAATGCACTGGAATAGTTAGTTTCAATATAAGTTTCGAATTGTGCTTTCAAATTCGGAGTTGTAGCTGATATCACGCGACTAAGATAGCTGTATATTTACGCGAAAACTAAATCTAGATTTTAATTATTTCCTGCATGCAACTACAAACGTAAAAGACTAGCTGTGCACTCCAACAATTTTATTCTTAGTTTTGTTTGATTTGATTTTAATGTGAGAAGCTGACAGACAAATTTACTTTAAAAGTCTACGGTGTTTGGACCTGACATTTAAATATCACTTTTACCGGTATTAACATTCGAAAATATGTGCATTGATTTTTGAAATTTAATTGTTTTGATGACTAATGAAAAATGATGAAAAAAATTTCGCCTTAGCCGTTCAATTTATTTGGAGCGACGCTTTGATTTTATCTTTCATTTTGGAGTGTTATTGAGAATTTTTTTCTCTAAGAGCCTTCGAAAAATTGTTCAACTGCAAGCAAGTACCTTTATTGAAAATAAATGAATCTAGGGGAAGTACATGGCCTTGTGATTCACCAGCGGCAAAAATAAACCAGAGAAATAGTGTAACTATTCTGCTGAATATTTTTTTTATCTCCCAACATAGTGCCTTGGGTTGAATTGAACTTGAAATAGGATTTCGATTAGTGGCGCTTAACTCACATCTATAAATGGATGTCAAATGAGTATAACATGTTCACAATAATTCACCAGAGTATTGCAGCCGAATGTTTTAGTAGAGGGGATACCACTGAATACTTATTGTGACGTCACGAGCTGATTTCTTGTTTCAAAACATAAAGACGGATTTGTTTGCGTTAAGCCATATTTAAGAGTATGTTTTTTTCAGGCATCACGCATTTATTTGCGATAAGCCATATTTAAGAATATGTTTTTTTCCGGCAGGACGGGACGATTGTAACAATCCGCGTTGGCAACGACGACAATTTCAGCGGCGAGCTCAGGAACAACACAGCGAGCGTCAAGGATAACGTTGCTCAATTTAATGACCTCAGGTTCATCGGGAGATCTGGGCGAGGTGAGAGTAGTCGCTTTAATCGTCTTCTATACATGAGAAATTCCTTATGATTCAATTTAAAAATTTATTTAATATGGCCGACCCTAGAATTTTTATATTACCGTCCCCTAAAGCTAGAATGGTTTGCTTCCCGTGATACCAGGATTCATTCATCCAGTGTTTTATTGCCAACAAATTTCTGGCAACAGACAAGACAATTAGTCTGGCTATTTATTAGTACAAGATTGTCATTGATGGAAATCCTTTCGGGTATTAGGTGCATTTTTTTACTAGATGCATTTCAACAATCAGAAGTTCATTATCCACCGCATTTTATAGATCTACTCCATAGAAAGTGTATGTTAAAACTGGCAATATCTACAGTCTCCATAGAATGAGTTTAAATAAATTGCAATTTATATAACACGTTTCATGAAAGTATATAATCGTTCTTGCGTCGTTGTTTGTTTGCGTTCTTGCGTTTGTTGTATAATGTCGTTCTTGCGTTCAAAGCTGAGACGAACAATAATATTGTGTGTATAATATAATAACAATAATATTGTGTGTATAATATAATAACAATAATATTGTGTGCAGGAAAATGCTTTTCACTGTCGCTGATAGTGAACTCCTCCCCCGTGGTCATGACGACGCTCAGTAAAGCCATCAAAATAACCGTCGACGGGCCAAGGGAGCCGCGCAATAAGACTCGTGAGTGCTCATTAAATTATCTTGTTATGCATCCACTGAATGATAGAATATAGTGAGTCATCTTCATACTTTCAACCATTTTATTCAATTACATATTGAATTGTATTTTATTCTGTAATGACCTGTAGCAGGGTATTACCATTAAACAACTTTTCCAAATTATAATTTTACAGTTTACATTTTGCTTCTGTTTCGCGGGTAACCTCCTAAGTTAATCTTCACAATCACACGTTCTGTGCAGTTTTGCTTCAAGTTACTGTTTTTCTTTGTCATAATTAAATATAAAAGGGAAAGCAACCAGAAAATGCACTCCTAAAGGCGGCTGTTTATTGATAATGCCATTTAAACATCCTATTTTAAAACGCATGTTTAATGTTCAAACAAATCTTCATCATTCGGTTACTGTTTAAACTGAATAATTCTTCAATGAAAATTGCAGAGCAGCACAAGCCATTGATTGTTTTCCTGTTTCATCATGCTCTGTAATTGACCAAGTGAAAATTTTGAATGGGGTTTTCAGGTACATAAAACTTCCCCAAATAAATAATACCCAATATTTTCCCTATGTGTCCCACCCCAACCATCTAACTTGGACTCATTTCAGTAACTTCGATTTACTATAACTGTGGATTTTTATCATAGTTTAGCGTCAATCTTTGGCACGATTAGCCAAAATTGATGCTAAACTACGATAAAAAATCCACAGTTGTGGTAAATCGGAGTTAGTGAAATAAGTCCAAAATTTTTTGACACGATTTGCTGCCAAAATTCATCCGCGAATCATGGCCGCCATTGCGTTTGACAGTCGCAACGCAGCAACTAGCGTTTTTTGTGAGCGCGAATCCCACTAGCTGAGGTCCCATAGGTCCTATTACAAGAACCATGTTGGCTTTGCTTTGAGTTGCTTCTGGTAGTTTTTTAAGCATGCGCAGGCGTACGACGGTGCATTTTTGCGACTAGGGTCCTAACTCGCAAACACTATTCGCTTGCATACAAGCATGAAAAATTCATGTCGATGATCGATAGCCGTCGCATAAAAACTATGAGTTTTTTAAGCCTCCATCCGCGGTTATGGAGGTGAATGTTGGCGTTCGAAAACCATGATCGAGAAATGTATCTTCCTGCCTGCCAGCATTCGTGGACGTGCACTCGTGAGTCTGGTTGTAATCAATGTTCAGTGGGAAATGTTGGGATTTCCATTAGGATGACGATGATATTTACCGAATAAGTGAATTGTCTTTATCGTATAGAATTACTACAATGCGGTACTAGGGACAGGCATCTGTAGTTATGTCACAAAGCCAAGAAAAACCTACAATTTTAGTAAAAATAAATTGTATTTTATTGAAACGCATTGCAGCTGATGGTCTCAACTTACCGCTTCCGTTAAAATTCGTCACATTCGTTAGCCGTGACCGCGTCGGCACCATCGAGATTTTTTCATCGCTTGCTACCTCCCTAGGCTCATGGTATCCATTTCCTCTTCACACAAGAGGTTCCTCTTCACATACACTTTCGCCTACTTGCAGTTGTGTGCCTTCTTTCCACTCCATTTATGCCATTCTTAAGCGATGGCTCGAGAGGCCATGCACCAGGCGTGTGCACCTCATGCGCACCGACACAACGTAAGCTGTACCCGATGTGTACACGCCTCTGCCACAACATTCTGGCTTGTAAATAACTCCGATGTCTGTTTTACTACCAATTTATATTTATTTTATCTATTGTTGTTTATCAGTTTTTATTTTCTTATTCTGGTCCACCATAAGATATGATTGCAGGTCTGTAAATCTTGCCTTATGTACAAACGTCTAGTAGATAATTGGCCCATCTGGTGTATCGTTGGTGTTTCGTCTCTTTGAAATCTTGAAGGCCGTTCTTACACTAGCTGTTCTTTTTGCCCATAAGGCATCCCGAATGTAGCAAATTGATTCATTTCTAGATGTTTTGCACCTGACCTATTCGTCCACATGCAGGTTTCAAGTCTGTTTTATGAACTTTCATTGATCGTGGCATTTTTATTATGCAGCAGCGCTCTTGCATTCAACTTGTATAAACTTAAATCATCATTGGATTTAAAACTCTCAATCAAATTGTGATATACTATACAAGTAAAAATTTGTATGTACATGATACCGAATGTCTCAAATAGGTTTAAATGTTAAATTTCATGTTTAGGGCAGCGTGATGACCGAACATCATGCACTAATATCATTGGACATGTGAGCTCATTTGCAAAGAGTGCTTTCCGGCTTCTTTTTGGTGTGCTCTCGGTTGTGCTATTCTCTAAGTGAGCTAATAAAGGTAATCAGGAGTCCCGGCACAATGGCGTGTTCCCTCTTTTGTTCGGCATGGAGGGGTCTGCCCAAACACAAAGCCGCTTTTCACGGCAGCTCACTTCTGAAACAAATACCTCGAAATTATTCGTGAGAGCCCTTGTAAATTTTCACTCAGCAGCTGTGCTCTCAAGATTATCGCAAGGAATTCTCGCTAGTTTGCTCGAGTCGTGAGCCGGTAAGCTGGGGTTGTTCCCACTACATAAACGTCACCGCGTCATGACCCTAACACCGCTGGCAGGGTATACAATTTATTTCGTGCCGTCCAGGAATTAAAGGAGAATAAAAAACGTTAAAAACTTTTAATTATCCGATTATTCAACTGCAGGCCATTTTGGTGGGGGTATCGAAATAAAATTTGCCTTAATTTAGATTTATTTAAATTTTACTCATAATTTTCTCGTTAAATCTAGATATTCAGATTTCATGAACAGAGATGGCAACCAATGAATTAGTCTATGCAATTTATGTATTTACTTAACATAATCGGAATACTCATTTCAGTGAGCCTTTAAAAATTTTTCACTTTGATGTTTCAAAGTGGAACTAACGCCACCTGAGCCGTTTTGGTCCATCGTGTCTAACGTTAGATGTTAATGGGAAGTTCACAACCTTCTTTTCCATTACTCACCACGCGATACTTGTGGAAAATGCTGCATGGTTTTTTTCTGCATCTTTCTGCTTGAGAATTTAACTATTCGCAATATTCGTAGTACGCTTCGCAGAGACCAGCGGCAGAACAGATATCTTATTAGCGAAACATGAAATTGACAGCCACGGCTAAGAGGTTTGGAAAAACTTTTCTCGCGAGATAACTCACGAGTGCCCGTGAAGCCATATTGAGTGACTGACGTGCGCGATCCATCCATTTGCATATCATTCATTGACACGTCAGGAGCTATTCGTGCCTGACTGCTTCCTGAATCAATTTGTTCAGTCGCATGGTTGGATTTGGGACCACTTCAAGAGGTGCGTGAAATTGATCCTTAGCAAAATGCAATTGGTGTTTGAGCCGGCGATCGCACTCCTGCTCCAAACGTGCCTACTTGTGAAGTTTATTTTTTCGCGACATTTTTGGCAGAAATAAATTGGTAGGTGTGATTTCACTGTAGTAAAGTACGTCATTCAAGTACTGCTCTTTAAGAAAAATTCGGGCAGTTTAGTCGACAAATAGGCATTACTTACTGCCAGGTGTGATCTTTCAGATAATTAATGAATCATGAATTGAGGAATGTTGATTTCATTTTCCTCATCATTCACTTACTCAATGAGTGAACAAAATTCGTATAAAATGGATCTCAATTCTTCTTGATGATTTAACTGCTTGATTTATATAGATTTTCGAGAGATTTTACTTCAAAGACCTCGAAACGACGTCAATTGTTCTGTCAAGAAGCGCGCAAACGCCTTGTGCCACATTTTAAACAGTTTAAAAATCAACTTGTATTATCTACGCGGTGAAAATATTTTTTACGCGCTAATTGTTCGAGTTGAGGAAAATAACTTTAAATAAGATTATCATTTACCATTCATTATCATAATACCATTCATAAATAATCGTATGAAATTATACTGAATCCAGAAATCCCATAGTCATTTCTTTTGAAACCAGAATACTGTAATTAAAATATGACCCCTATCTTCCAACATACGTTCAGCACTTAAGACCTTTTCATGTTACGTATATAAAAATAGCGGAAACTTGGCTATTTATATTTTCAAAATTTAATTTACCATTTCATTATCTTAAAATTTCCATCTGACCCTCCACGCCCCAAGTTTTCAACTGTCTAATAGTTCTATATATTTAACTTAGGTCCTAAATTTATAATTTTTTTTTTTTAACTATAAATTTAGTTTTATTCCCATGAAAAATCTCGAAACGGTAAGAATCGCGGATAAGCGCTCGCACAACCCATATATATGTTCAGGAACAGGCTTCGAATAAACATGCAAACGTTGACGAATGTTTGTATGAAATAACAGCATTTAAAAGAAAATATGATAGTAAAACTGTGTTAATATAACTATGACAAAACTCTTGCATTGCTAGTATTCAAAAATAATGTTCCAAAATCTTTTGTAGATATCTTTTATAAATTTTTCTAAGTTTGTCTGTATATGTGTTTTTAGCCTGCATGGCACCGTAGTTATATTGGGTTTGAGCGCGTATTCACAATGTTGTTCATTTCGATATTTGCTTGTGAATAAAATTTAATTTTAGTCATAGGGCCACGATGCATTGAGTAGATTAAGATTAAAAATTGAAAATGATGTAAGTGTAAATTTTATTTTGAGAATAGAAAGGTAAAATTTCCTTTCTATTTCTATTCTAAAAATTGGTGAGTGTGGTTGGGAACGAGTCTTTCATTAATTACTGTATTTTTTTCAAAATTATCAACTTTATTATTAATTTCAGGATTTAGGAGAAACATCATAATGCTTAGATTGCCAAGATAATCAGTCACGAGCAACACTGGACTAACATACTAGTTATCAATATAAAAGTTATTAACTTCCTTGAACTCTGAGTCGCCTAAGATCACTATTTTTTGGTCATCTCTGTATTGCAATTGGCCACATTTTTCAATTTCCGGCCGTTTCTTTATGTATCTATAAATTTTAATGAAAACTTTTCAAAAAGCTCGTGAGAGCCTTCATATT